ATAGTATGTATATTATCAAGAAAACTCAATGATAGAGCTTAAATACCAAATATTGTAGGCATGCCTAATAACTTTTAAAAACAACAGCCTAAATAATATAAATTCTCATCAAATAACTAGAAAAATACTTACAAATTTGCCACCTAAAAAAATTAATATTTTGATTTATCAACACCTATTGAATAATAATCATTATGAAAGAATGAATGTTGTAAAGGCAACAAAACACTTTTTCATATTAATTATTACACTAGGTAATTTGAATAGATCATGATTAATAATACTAAGGAATTATAATTGCTCAAGCATGCATTAATAACATTCTACCAATATCTCAAACCTAAAAGACCAATCTAGACCAAATCATAAATAAATATATAATAATGCAAAAGGATAAAAGCTATAAAAAAGAACAACTAACTAGCATTAGAGATCATCAATCATCTTATAAATAGAGATGTATAATCATTATTGGAGATTAATCCACCATCCCTAAAAACAGTGAATCATTTAATACTAACAATAACCAAGAAAAACCACTAACAAGGATAATTAATTATCCTAGATAATGCTTAATATCACCAATGGTTGTAAGATATGAAAGTTAACTTGAACGTCAAAGTTCATGAGTTACAAAAAATAAAAAGCTCGAAGAAATTTATAGTCAAATCTCATATCAACAATCACAAATCTTGTATAAATTAGATTTTTATATATTAAATTTTCTTATCTAAGATGTAGAATTCATACTTCATTTATAACTGTATTGAAATACTTAAAACCATAAAAAAGAATATAACCATTCTAAGTTTTATTTAATTGTATAAAATAATTCTAATCTACAAAAAGTTCATTTTTATTTTCTTACTTTTGTTTTTTAGTAATTTTTGTTCATATTTTCATCAACAAAATTTAGTTTTTTTTAATGTTTTTTACCAGCTAGTTAGTTTATAATATTTATGTTGTTCCATATAATTTTGATAAATTCCTTTAATGCATTGTCACCAATTAATTAATTTTATTTGCAATAGTGACCATACTATTTTCTTTAGTCATAATAAATTCTTTAAATTTTTTCCCATAAAAGTTAGATATTTATTGAGACATAACATTTTGATTGATGAGAATATTAATTATGTGCAAGAAGGGAAAATTTATGGTTTGAATTTGTCTTCCTCTAAGTTATAACTTAATTCTCTCTAAACCACTATAGATTCAGGTACTCCAAAATTATTTGAAGAAATTACAATGATAATATTGATATTTGTTCTCCTTAAAGTAGTTAAATTTTATTTTAGTTGTCAAGAATCCATCAAGTGTTTGCAAGGAATTTCAAATTGGCATTGCAATACCGGAGAATCTTGAGATGGAAGAACTAATCATATCCACTTCTTGACTGTTCTTCCTGTTGGGACCAGCAAAGTAGAATGTAAGGAGAACCTACCCTTCTCTTACATTTGTCTTCAGTATACAAAACAATAGTGAGGCATCGGTATCACAATGAGACTAGACTTTGCTCTTGCCATGTCGTTCTCATTGTCTTTATACGTTAGAGATCCATATCTTTTGGATACTCCACAGCTCGTACAGGCAAGTTTACATACTTCTTGTTTAGTAAATCCTTTTGATCTTTACTCTTTGCATGACAACGCAACAGGGCATGTGTCCCGACTTATTGAAGCTCAGCTCCACTAACTCAAAAGAGAAAAGAAAAGCGCACGTCAAACACCACGCATTGGTTGCACAGGGTTTTTTTTTTGTTTATCTTTTTTTGCTCTTGAAATATCAACCTAGAAATGATCAACGCCAATGTTGGTTCCAGGTCCTTTCCAATCAACTTGTCAAGCTACAATAGTTCCGTTCTTTAGTTTAGATCAATATTTTTCGTAGAGGTTGACAGAACCAAAATGAGAGTAAACAAAACCAGAGCCTGATAAGTCACAGCACGGCAACCAGTCTTTGGCCTCCATTGACAAGAGCCTTGTTCTTCGATTCTTTCCTTGTTAAGCCGTACGAAAAAAGTTTGAAAATCTAGAAGAATGTCTAAAGAAACATGTATCCCATTGAAGCGGCCTTCTCTCGCATCGCATCGCAAGAGATCATAGACCCCACTCTCTCACCAGCGGACAAAAAAGAGACTTCTTCGCAGCACGGCCCCTTCCATTCTTTAAACTTTCCTTCTCCTTCTTCCACCGAGTTATAAGTAGGTTGTGTCGTCTTCTTCCATCCATCTACACGCGCAAACAAGTAACAGAACTCGCTTTAGTGACGAAAGAAGATGCACAAGGACTTAACACAAGACAGGCGCGAGATAACTCCATCTCTTTTCTTTTTTCTTCCAGAGAAGAACTCGTCACCAGTCACCACTGTAGACCGCGTCAAGCTTACGATCCGGCGAAAGAAATCGTCTCATGCTTCATCGTCCTCTCTGCAAATCGTCTCGTCAAACCCGCGCTTAACTCCATCGCTAGCTTTCAGTCAAGCTCCCCTCCCAGTTTCGCCCCCCCTTTTTCTTTTCTTTTTGGTGCTCGATCGAGAAAGTTTCGCTCTCTCTCTCTCGCTCTCACCAACCAAGCTTTGAAAGTGGCCCATGACTACCCCACTTTCGCTCTGGCCCGTCAGCTTCCCTGTTCCTTCTGGACTCGTGCTTTATTTATTAACCCAGCGCCGCGAGTGCTTTGCCCCCTCTTAAAGCAACACTTTCCTCTTCCTCCCCTCTCCATCTCCTCTGCTTCTCGGATCCAGGAGATCAATCGGCTCAGATCCCTGCTTTCTTGTAGAGATGGCTGCGACTGCTCAGGGAAGCGGCAGTGCAGCATTACTCCTCACTGTCCTTGCGGCTCTTTACTGCTCGGTCCTGTCTGCTACCATTCGCATCGACTGGAGCCAAGGAGTCGACTACTCAAGCTGGTCGACAACAAACACCGTCCGCACCGGAGACACTGTCAGTAAGTTCCTCCTCCTCTTGAAAAAACGGATCTTTCTCACCCCTCTCGCTAAAAAAATGAACCTTTGGCAGCTTTCAACTGGGTCGGAAGCCACACCGCCGACGTAGTCTCGCAGGCCGACTGGACGAGCTGCACGCCGAACTCTCTCCGATCTGTCGCAAACGGTGGAGGACTCACGGTCGGCACTGGAACCACTTACGTGATCTGCACAGTCGCTGGTCACTGTGCTGGAGGCATGAAGGTGGCCATCACTGCGGCGTCGACCCCTTCGACTCCCACTACACCTGCGCCTCCCACTACTCCGACTACTCCGACTACTCCGACGACTCCGACGACTCCGACAACTCCTACCACGCCTACAACTCCCACCAACGAGCCTTCTGCTGCATCTGGACTACAAGTCGGCACCGCTCTCGCCGTCGCCTCGGTAGCGTTGCTCTTGTAAGAGTCGTCCACTCTCGTCCATGTTTGTTTGTTTGTTCGTCGGAGTAGCAATTCTTCTTGGACTTTCGGAAGATCCACCTGTTGTTTGCGATTCTTCTTGAATAGCAGAGAGATCTGGGATTTCTTTTCGCTTGAAGCTCACGGAGTCAACTTGTTGATCCTGTTTCCACCACTCGGTTTTACTGTTCTTCCATCCTGCTTTTTACCCCCTGGTTTTATCCTGCTATACGCCACGAAGAAAACGTTGATTTTTGCAGCAAGGAAGAAAACAAAGTATCATTCCGTTACGTAACCAGCACTACTCACTTATACTCAGGATCATGTTGAACCGTTTCTAGTAGCTCGAAGTCTGCATGGCAAGATCCTTTCTTTTCTCTCCCGGCTCGCACCATCTCGTTTCCGTCAGCCGATGAGGTAGCAGCTTCGTTCTGTAGATGTACTTCCCTCGCTTTTGTTTCTCGCGTAACTTTTCCAGTAAGATCTCTTCCTTGGGAGTCATCTCTCGGAGAAGCACCGTCAATCTACACCGTTTCTTCTCCCGGATGCCAAATCTGCCCCTCGCGTGTGGCCATATACGTTTCAAATACTTCCCTTTGCCGACGAAGGCCTCGTCTAATGACAACAAACAAAATATTCGGTGAGCGGCTGTTAGACGCAAGGTGTGATGGCCTACCGACTATGAGCTTTTCAGCGTCGAAGCCATAGTTATGGACCGCATTGGCACGAGCAGAATGCAAAACCTGGACAACGAACGCTATGAGTATCGAAAGAATAGGATTCGTTAAAAGAAAAAGGAAGCAATTTTACCTTGTAAACGGTACTGGCAGCACGCTTGATTAGAACGCTCATTTGTATAAGAGCGTCATTCACTCGCATGCCTCGGACAACCTTTGCTACGAGGTTCATCTTCTTGGGGCTCTAAAAAAACGTAAGAAAAGAAAAAAAAGTGAGAGAGTTCATGCTGTAAACCAAAGAACAAGACAATGAAACGAACCTGAGGTATTTCTCTCAGCATTGCTCTCACAGTCTTTGGCTTTGGCTTTGGGGGCTTTGGAGTGGCAGTCACTTCGAAGCTAGCACCAGCCGCTTCCGGGGAAGTTGGAGTCTCCGCTAGAGGAGATTTTACTGGAACATCGTCCTCTCGGAAAATCCGGCTCATCGATATATTCTACATTCCAATCATCGATCGATCATAAAAACCAAGATAGAAAAAAAAACATAAAATCGGTGAGAAACAATGGATACCTGTGCCTGGCTATGCTGGAATGGCCTCCGGAAAATGCTAGGCCCTGGGAGAAAAATTTCCCAGTAAACAACGCCCAGCGGAAAATCCAAGCGTACCTTCTCCATCCCGTAGAAACGCCGAAACCTTCCAGCAGTGTCGCGCATTGGCAGCGCCAGCGATCAAAGACCCATTCTGGAGCTGCCTCGTCGTTCGCAACGCGATCCTGCCGATCATCGCCGCCCCGGGATGGAATGGACCGTGCTCCAGCATAAACCCTAAGTTCTTCCGTGCAAGAGAGCGTCCGTACGTTGGGTCATTAAGAATGGAAATGGATCTTTCCTTTTATCTTTGGCTTTGTCGAGACGCGGGAATGCGCGACAAGTTTTAGGGCACGGCGCCTTCGAACTAAATCACAAGGACGACCATGGCCGCGCTTCGCTGCTTCTCCAGGAATTCTCTTGACAGGGTCAATGATCGGGGCCGGCTCGAGCAGTAATCCATCATCCATCCCGGGCAAGGGAGAAATTTCGAGATGTCCTCTCCTCCTCCCTCGAATTCTCGCGCCAGCAGCTCTGGCGGCCACTCGATCCCCGTGATTGTGGGACTCTCCCTCGCTGCCGCGGCCGGCCTACTGTTCTTGATCACTGTAGTCGCCTGTGTGCTGTCGAGGAGGAAGGGCAAGGCCAAATCGCGGAGTGTTCCGGAGCTCCGCGAGCCAGCAGCACCCATTCGCATGAATGGGCTCGATTCTAGCACCATTCTCTCCGATCAATTCAGCACCAATCACGACCACCACGCGGTGGAGCTCTGGCATCCCAAACCAGCAACCGTCTTCCATCCCGGCATTACAAAGTTTTCTTACAAGTGAGTTCCTCCCGCGCGAGCTAGCCTAGCGAATTTCTCCTGGAATTTGCCGCAAGCTTTCGTTGACTCTCTTTTCTTGCTTTAATTTTTTGCACAGGGAGATCCAAAGGGCTACCAAAAACTTTACAACTCTAGTGGGAAGTGGGGCATTTGGTCCTGTTTACAAGGCAACGCCATCTCCATCTTCTCCAACTCGTTTAGCTGTGAAGGTTCTTTCTTCCACTTCCAAGCAAGGAGAGAGAGAGTTTCAAACCGAGGTAAAAAAAACCTTCGTCCTTTCGTTTGTAATCTTTGTATCTGTCAGGTGAGCTTGCTAGGACGATTGCATCACAAAAACCTCGTAAACTTAGTCGGCTACTGTACCGATCGCCGAGAACGTATGCTCGTCTATGAGTATATGAGCAACGGGAGTTTGGAAAAACTACTGTACAGTAAGTGTCTCTTTTGTAATTTTCTCAGCGTGATCAATTGTATTATCAGATGACAAGAGGGAAGCTTTGAGCTGGTCTGAGCGAGTGCAAATCGCGAAGGACGTTTCTCGGGGCATTGAGTATCTGCACGACGGGGTAACTACAATTGAAGTTCTCGATTCAAAAATCTCATGAAGTTGTTTCTATAGGCAGTTCCACCAGTGATCCATAGAGATATCAAGTCCGCTAACATTCTTCTAGACAATTCAATGACAGCCCGGGTATGTCAAGTTCTTTTCTTTTTCCACTTTTGTTGTTGATAGACTCTCCAAAAATTCTTTCAGGTAGCAGATTTTGGACTTTCCAAGGAAGTGAGTCCAGTAGTCCCAACCTCGGGAATCAAAGGCACATTTGGCTACACCGATCCCGAGTACATCTTCACCAAAGTTTTCAACGAGAAGAGCGATGTCTACAGCTTTGGAGTTCTTCTGTTCGAGCTCATGTCAGGCAGGCATCCACAGCACGGCCTCATGGACTACGTCCAAATGGTAACTCCCATTGTCCTTGTTGTTTTGATTCATCGCAGATTTACTCTCTCTCGCAGGCCTCCCTGGGTGTGGACGAAGAAAACTCCGACTGGATCGAGCTGCTGGACTCCCGACTAAACGGGAATTGCAACCTCCAAGAGCTGGCGAAACTGGCCTCCATCGCCCATCGCTGCGTGAGGAAAGATCCAGAGACGCGGCCGCCGATGCGTGAGATTGTACAGTGGTTGTCGCGGTTTGGAATGAAGCACAGCATTTCGATGGTGATCTAGTTGCCTCAAATGCTACAAATCTTTTTCTCTCGATGGAAAACTTCTCAAAATTTGAAATTTTGTACCTCGGCGCCAATGTTTAAACGCGTAAGAATATGCTTCGAATCTAGGGCTCATGGCGCCGAAGAAGGACACGCCGGCGCAGCGCGACGAGTGCGTCAACTACGCAATGGAGGTGCTGTGGGGGAATTTCGATCTATATCTCAAGGACAAGGTCTACTTTCCTTGCATAATCTCTCACGCCGTGGCGAGAACCATGGCCGGGGTAAGCAATCTCTCCTCTCTCTCTCTCTCTCTCGCCTTTGATCCAGCTCCAATGTCCCCTGGCCCTGGGATTTCCAGATGGTTCATATGGTGAGCGTGGGATTGGTGCCGCGGATGGAGAGCTGGGACGATCCAATCGTCCAAGGTAGGGTACCAGAGGAGTGGATCGTTCCCCAGGAGCCAGTGTTGCCGCCGCTCGATACCTGGGCTCGATGCGTTCTCCCCGTCAAGCAGCGGCCAAAGGAGGTGTCGCCACCGCCAGCGCCGCCGATCCAAGAGGAGCAGCCACCGCTGGAGCAGCCGCCCAGCCCAGTGAAGCCGGCGGCGATCAAGGCGGTGGAATCCAAGCCGGACAAGCCCAGGAGAGCGACGATCACTGTCGCGCCGGGGCAACCGCTCGCTCCCCAGGGTGGATCGCCCAAGCTCTACGATCGAAAGGGCTCGCCGGTGAGGAGATTTAGCGAAGGGACTGTGCTGCCGCCAGAGATGATCCAGAAGATCTCTCCGCCGCGGCCGCCAGAGGACACTGCGTCGATCGACTCGTCGTCCGGGGGGGCGAGGAGCTCCATGGCCAGGGGCTCCGTGAGGAAGAGCGAGCAAAGAAAATCTCTCGTCCCTCCATCTCAGCGATCTAACAAGCTCGCTGGAGGTACGCAATTCCTCGCTTCTTGACGAGAATTTTTCTCTCTTCCATTTTCTTTCTTCCAGATGCGCCGCCCAAAGCCGGAGGCTCCTCCAAGACCACTCGCAGAGCTTCCATAAAATAAGTTCTTCCCAGATCCAAAGCTCGCACAGATTTCTCATCTACGCAAAGTCAAAGTTTCTAAATGACAAAGCATGCAAAATGGTTAAACATGCTGGCCAGGCATTGACAAAACGGTCAACGCTCTTCCAAAGTATCGACAGGCATTGACAAAATGGTCAACGCTCTTCTATAAACTATTTCACCTCCCAAGTTAATTGACCTGTTGACCATCGTTGACAAAGTGTTCAACGTTCTTCCAAAGCTTCTGGAAGAGATTATATACATGCTTAACAGCCAAACTAATCGCGCTTTAAGCCGCCATAGCGGGAATGAATGCGTGCGCCCGCGTCGGTGCCACGAAATGACCCGTGATTTGGATTCATCACTGCGCTGCAAATGCAACTACAAAGCTGTAGAAAGTACGGTCTATTCTATACGACTGCGTAGAAATGGTAATGCAGTTATACGGCTGGATTAGACCAAGAGAGCTTTAAGCTGGCCGAGGGGCGTGCTGTGCCATGCACGGCATCACACGCAAAAACGACGATGAGGAGTACTGTCACAAGATGCTGTCGTATGTACGGGAATATCCTCCTCCCCACACTTTAAACGGATGTAGCTTGCGAGAATAGCCACTTTTGGTCGCATTGAAAATCTTCTTGCTCGCTTCGAGCTTTGCTTTCGTTTGGCCTGTCGGATTTCTCCCTTCCGCTTTTCTTTCTTGCACTTGTCTAGGTCGATTCGATTCGATCGGTCGGTCGGTCGGCTTTCGAGCAAGAGCCTGCGCGCTTGGATATGTTGCTGGCCTCTCATCGAAATCGCTGCATCGTTTTCTTGTGGGTCGTGCTGGTGTCGATGATCGCGTCTGGATCAAGAGCTCATCGCTATCGGTGGCTGCTGAGCATGGAAGAACTGGGCGATGAGCACGGTAAGTGTTCTATCTCCGCAACATAGAAAACCATCTCGCTAATCCATGCTGTCTCAATCCAGGCTCAAGCGCTAGTCCCTCATTGGATGATCTCCTCGGGCAAACGAGCTATAGTCAGGTACGTACTAGTATTTTCTTTCGGATTGAAGCTTTCCATCAATCACTCACTGGGTTTCATTTTCATTCTCTCGGCCTTCTTCTCGACTCGATTTCTACTGTCGTCTCGATCGATCGATCGATCGGCCTCGTCGATTGGCAAAACAAAAGAGCAAGAGCACCGAGGCGGAGATCCTGAGCAGCCGACATCCGGGCTCGAGGCCGCCGCAATGCCAAAACGTTTGCGGCGGGAGCTGCCATGGACGCTGCATTGCCCGGCCGCGCTTCTTGCAAGGCGGGCGCGCGTTTGGCCAGCACGCCGTCTGGACATGCTCGTGCCAGGACCTCGGGTGATTAGCCCCTAATCATCTGTACTAGGCACAAATTAGGCGCATGATTAATCACTACTTGCGCATTTCAATCATGGGCTTCCTCGACAACACCAACGAAAAATCACTCATACGGATAACTAATCATGCTTATTAGGCTTAATCATGAGTTAGCTGCTAACCCGCCTTCTTCCTCCTTGGGTCTAGGAGCACGAGGAATCGGCGCCATAGCCAGAGTTTGCGTGGCGGAAGAGCGCCGCCTGGTACGCCGCCGATCGCTGGCTGTGGAGCGAGGATTGGAAGGCGGTGCGTATGGCGGAGGGCGAGTACTGGAAGCCGGGGCGCGAGTAGGAGTTGAGGAGCGCGGCGGTGGCCTCGCGGAGGAGCGACGAGTAGGCATCGGTGGACTGGTTCTGGAGCGCGCCCAGGAGCGTCGTGGGGCCGCCGAAGATCGTGTACGCGACCTGGCCGAGGACTTGCGTCACCGTGGTGTAGATCGTGAGGAGGTTGGGCCACGAGTTTGGATGCTGCGCCCAGTAGCTGCAATTCAATCGGGAGTGACGCTTAGTTCTTGCAATTGTCAATCAATCGGAAGGATTGATTCGAGGAAGAAGGAAGGAGTGCTCTGTTTGGAGGCGTCCTCTCTAGATCGAGGATTTGGGCAAGGAAGCTCTGTTTTGGGGGAACTATCCTCTGCTAACTGACAATGGGGATTTGACCTGGAGAGTGACAGATCTTGGGAAAGAACTAGAGCTTACTTGCTGGAGCATCCTCCGCCACCGCCGAGGCCACCAAATCCGCCGCTTCCACCACCGCCGCCGCCGCCTCCTAGTAAGCCACCCAGTCCGCCGCCAAGGCTGTTGGAGGAATCCACCGAAGTAGCGGTGGCATCGCCGCCGAGCTGCGCGCTCGCGCCGAATGGATCGGTGGCAAACTCCTGGCTGGATCCCGCATTGGCCGAGAAAAGGAGGACGAGCGTGATGCACAGAGCCCAAGGCGTCCTGGCGTTAGTCCCCATAACTAAGAACTCGATGAAGGAAGAGAAAGGAGTGATGGATGGAAGTGAATGAATGTGATATTGGGTTTTATACTCTGGTGGATCGGTGAGAGTCGCCAGGCCTCCCGTGGCTGCGTGACCGATTTTTTACAGGCGAGACAGAGCCGAGGGGCGGTCACCAAATGCTCGACTCGCGAAAAATAATCTCTCGTGTTCTATTCGCTCTCAGATTATCGCATATAACCACATTCTCTCTCGGATCATCGTTCATAACCATGGATCGAAAAGCTTAAGCTCCTTCCAGCATTGATTGAGCGACAACGATGGCATCCAAGGACGCCTGACGCCGCGCAAAAGCCTTCATATCAAACCGTTGGGGGATTTCCCTTTCCCGAGACATGGAGTTCAGACCGTTAGGGTTAGGGTTCGTGGGTGATGGACAGGCGGGAATGCCTCCATCTAGTGCAGTCTTGTAGGAGCTTGAGCGCCGCCAGGGAGCTCCACTCTCGAATCGAGTCCTCCCCTCACATCGATCTCGACACCTTCCTCCTCAACAAGCTCGTCGAGATGTATGGCAAATGCGGCAGCGTCAAGCACGCCTCGCAAGTCTTTGATGCGATTCGTGAGAAGAACTCCTACTCGTGGGTTCTCATGCTCTGCGCCTGCACGCGAAATCGCCACCTCGAGGAAGCGCAGCAGATCTTCCGCGAGATGCCAGAGCCAAATCTCGTCTCCTACAATGCAATGGTCGCGGTGTATGCCCAAACCGGGCATCTTCATGACAGTAAGAGAGTCTTTGACGACATGCCTGTCCACGATCTCATCTCCTTCAATGCCATCGCCGGGGCATATTCCCACACAGGGCATCTCCAAGATGCGAAGGAGATGTTTGACACGCTGCCTGAAAGGGATCTCGTGTCGTGGACAGGGATGCTAACGGCATATACCCGCTCAGGGCATCTCCAGGAGGCGAAGGGTATCTTTTGTGACATGCCACAGCGGGATATTGTTTCCTGGACGGCAATGCTAACAGCATATGCGCGGCTTGGGTATCTTGAGAGTGCTAAATCTATGTTTGATTCCATTCCACAGCGCGATTGCGTGTGTTGGTCGGCGATGATATCTGTATATGGACAAAAGGGACAAATCGATGGTGCTAAGCGCGTGTTTGAGGATATGCCAGAAAGAAACATGGTATCGTGGTCGTCAATGCTAGCGGCATATGCGCAGAATGGGCATCATAACGATGCGAAGGTCTTGTTTGAGAGCATGCCGTACAGGGATCTGATGACGTGGACTACAATGCTGACCGTGTTGACGGAGGAGGACCGCGTTGACGATGCCCGGGTTTTGTTCGATGAGATGCCACAGCGGGACATCGTGACGTGGACGGCCATGCTCGCTGCGTATACCCGGAATGGGCATCTTGAAAATGCGAAGCATCTTTTTGACCGGATACCTCAGCTAAATCAGATATGCTGCAATGCGATGCTAGATGCGTATGCCCAGAACTCGCAGCTCAAGGAAGCCCTGGAGATGTTTCACAAGATCCACGAGAGGGATGTAGCTTGCTGGAGTGTGATGATCTATGCCTATGCTCACAATGGGCACTTGGATCTGGCAAGAAAAGTTCTAGAGACGATGCCAGAGCGAAACATAGCATCTTGGGGAGCTATGCTCAGTGGATACTCACTCACAGGTCATTTCTTGAGGGTCTTTGAAGTCCTGGATTTGTTCCGGTTGATTGAGTGCCCTGATTCTGTATGTTTTGTTGCCATCTTTGGAGCTTGTAATTACATTGGCAAGATGGAGGCTGGCCGGCAGTGGTTCCTCTCAATGATCATAGATTACAAAGTTGAGCCTACAAGACAGCACTACTGCTGTATGATTGATTTGCTAGGACGAGCAGGACACATTGACAGTGCTAAGGAACTCATCACACTGATGCCATTTGTGCCTGATGTTCTTGAGTGGACCTGTTTGCTTGGAGCTTGCAGAAGTTCGAGTAATCTCCAGCATGCTGAAAATGCCGCGAAATCTCTCTTTGTCATGAGCAATGATGGTGCTGGATATGCATATGTATTGCTTGGAAACATCTATTCATTACCCAAAAAAACTCTGCATATGCAAAGGTTGAGCTGTTAAAACTTGGTTTATGCTGGTTGTTTCTTTGACTCTCATCTGCAAGGTATCTATGTTGTCTATTTTGAAATGTGAGACAACAATCCAATAGCATTATATCTTCTGGGAACAGGTTCACCAGTCCTCTTACATAGTTGTGGTTTGCCCAAGTGATATCGTAAGCAATGGCTAAGATTGATTTTATCTTTTACAGGAAAACAAGATCCACAGTTCTATGAATTCAAAAATTCTATCTCCCTCCATAATATTTGCCACCCCAAGAAAGACAAAAGTCTTAGTTCTAGGCTTTGTTCTCAGCTTTTAACTTGCAGGGGCTTTCATCATACAGATCAATCAGTTTCTGAGCTAGGGGACTTTCTGGAGAGGTTGAGAAGGCTTGCCACATACACAGCAAGAGATTCTTTTGACAGCCATTTGTGAGGGAAAGAAAGAGTTATGATCAGCTATAAGGCTACTAGCTTATTTGCGGTATAGTGGCAAAAGACAAGCCTTAAAGCTCTCCTATTTAATCTGGTTTTAAAATTCTTAATTTCATGGCACAGCCTAAGTTCTTCAGCCACTTGTAAGGGAAAGCCTTTCTCCCTTTTCTCTTTCGTGGATTAGGAGTTCTTATCAGTTATGAGGATGGGATGAAATTCAAACAATTGCTACTAGGATCTTCTAAATGATGGAGTTAAGGCTGTGTGCTTGGATGGCTTGCTATGCTCACCCCCTACCTACTGCCACAGGGTGGCAACCAACTTAAGCACTCTAGTTTTAACATTCTTTATTTAACATTGCTTCTTAGGTAAGTTCACAAAGATTAATAACAATTTTAAGAGAGTATATGAGATTTCTGTGTTGGACTAAGCATTTACACTTTATAGCATTATTCTTCTTGGATCTCTTTCTAACTACCATAGCTAATTGAATTGCTACTGGGAGAGTGAGATAGCATAGATTGCTTCAAAAGTGGGAAGATGGTGTAGACTTTAGGTATGTCACAGAGTTTCAACACATTGTGTAAAGTACTTGGCTGCCATGTAGAAGCAAAGCTCTTGTAAGCAGACATTCCATGGGCTGTCAAAGCTTCACTTAATTTAGCATTTCTTAATGCCTTTTCGATATTGTATTATATTTCATATATTTTAATGTACATTATCTAAAAACATTTATACAGAAAACCAGGATTGCTGCGAAGCAATATAATTACTTATACATCTAAAATCAAAACCATGGATAAAATTTTATTAAAAGCCAACTATAGAGAGTTAGTGGGTAGTGGTATATAGTCCCATCTCACAGCTCTTTGTTAATCTCAGTAATTGACTATATTTCATTTATTTGTTTATATTCGTCCTTATAATATTTACTCCAACTTGCCAGCTAAATTATCTAACCATTAAAGTGAATGTTCTTAAGAGCATGCTACTTACCTGCTAAAAGTTTTAGAAGTATAGTATTTATAATAAGCATAGCATTTAGTTTTACCTTTTATTATAAACACACCCATTCTTAAAACCTATAGGAGGTAAAGAATATACCTAAGATATTTAGTATATTCTCTAATCTAGAAGTTCATAATTACTGTTTAACATTAATTTTCTTACTTAAACAAACCTACTCAAGATAGTCTTGGAGTTTTGGAAGAATATATGTTGGATATTAAAGCATACGGAGCTCCAACATGAGCCTTATTACCCCCTGCCAAAACACCCTCTGCAATACAAACCCCGTGATCTGTTCTGCCATGAATCATACAAGAACCAATTAATGTAGTCCAAGCCACAGGATCAGCACTGCCAGCCATATCCTTCACCACTTGTTCCGCCCCTCGAATCCATCCAGCTCTTCCCAAAAGATCCACCAAACTCCTCCAGTGATCACCACTCGGTGTCAACCTCTCGTCTCTAACCATGGACAAGAAGCAAAAGATCCCTTGCTCCACCAATCCGGCATGGCTGCAAGCAAACATCATCTCCAGGAACGTCACTTGATCCGGCTTGGTTCCATCCAAGCGCATCTCCTGGAATACCTCCACTGCCTCATTGGCATGCCCAAGCTGGGCATAAGCCTCTATCATCGAATTCCAAGACACCACCGTGTTCCTCCGGAGAGAAGACCTTCTGGCGGCATCAAACACCACTCTCGCATCGCTCCAGCTCCCACACTTCCCATACATGTTGATGAGCGCATTGCTCACATTCTCTTCGCCATCGAATCCAGCCTCCACGATCTGCCCGTGAACCCCTCTCCCGATTTCCAGATCGCCCAGAAGCGAGCAGGCCTCAAGAACCGCCAAGAACGTCACCGAGTTGGGCTTGATCTTGCCCATCCTCGCGAAGCAATCCAGCGCTTGCCTGGGATGCCCATTCTGCGCATACGCAGAGATCATCGCGCACCAGGTGATTACGTTCTTGTGCTCCATTCGATCAAACACATCCCGCGCGGCTTCCAGCGCGCCGAATCGCCCATGCATGCTCACCAGCGCCGATCCCACCACGACATCCAGCTCCAGCCCCGCGCTGCAAATCCTGGCGTGAATCAATCGCCCCTCCGCCAAGCTCTGGCACGCCCCAAGAACACTCGGATAAGTGCTCTCATCGGCCCGGATCCCTTCCTCCTCCATTCTCCGGTAGAGCTCCATTGCCTCCCTGCGATGCCCGTTCTGGGCAAATGCTGCGATCATCGCGTTCCACGATACCAGATTGCGATCCTGGATCCGATCAAACACTGCGAGCGCCTCGATCACTGCCCCACACTTGCTAAACATGTTGATCATCGCAGTCTCCACGATCACGTCCGATCGTGCGCCGCCCGCCACGATGGTCCTGTCGAGGACAGTTCCCCGGACGCGCACCTCGATTGCCCTGGCCAGAGCCAGATCGCCGATCCCCGCGATTGCGCCTATGGCGCTCACGAGCGTCGCGCTCTCGGCCGGGATCCCTTGCTGGTCCATCGCGCGAAACAATCGCAGCGCCGCGCGGTCGCGGCCATTGAGCACGTAGGCCGCCATGAGGATCGCCCACGAGAAGAGATTGGGCTCTTCGATCGCGTCGAATGCCTCGCGCGCGCGGGAGAGCTCGCCGCAGCGCCCATACATCTGGACGACGAGATTGGCGAGGAATGTGGAGCAGCGGCCGCACGAGCGGAGAAGGATCTGGGCGTGGACGCGGCTGCCATGAGCTAGAGATTTGGATCGGCCGCACAGGCGCAGCAGCTGCGCGAATCGGTATGCGTCGTCGCCGGCGGCAGTGGGTTCCTCCTCCAGCCGCCGCACCACTTCCTCGATCGAGGAGAGATTTTGGTGCCGGATTGATGATACCGGCATTCCATTTGCCAAAAACCCTAAAACTCCCTGTTGAAGAGAAGAAAAGTGATTTTTGTTGAGGATCCAGAACCCTAAAACTCCCTGTTGAAGAGAATTTTCTTTATGATTTTTGTTGAGGATCTGTCTCTGTGTGTGTGTGTGTGTGTGTGTGAATTGTTGTTGCTTTTGATGGCTATATCTACAGAATTCTGCAATGCAGGATCGATAATTTTTGAGAACAAGAGAGAGAACAAAAAAACTGAATTTAATTGAGAAACAATGCTCTGGAGCTCAACATCTCAATACCAATCTTGAACACCAAAAAATACGTACTTTTAAAATCCGAAGAATTGGAGGATCTAGAGCACCGCGGCGGCGGCGGCCACAGCTCCAAGGGCCACGACGAAGGCGCTGGAGGAGACGAGATTGCCCGCCGCTCCTTTCTGTGGAGGTTCCGCGGGAGGAGCGGCAGCATCGGCGCTGGAGACAACGTTGATGATAACTTTCATTCCCGCGTTGCAGTGGTTCCCAACTCCACAAACGTAGAACTTCTTGCCTGGAGCTCCGAGAGTGACGATCGGGTTTGGTTCTGTGAAAGTCTTGACGGGATTGCTGAGATCGCAGTTGTTGTACGCCTCCTGGGTTGCAAGCGCCAGCAGACTGTGTCCCGACTCGTATTTAAACTCTAGAAACAGAGTTCCAAGAAAAAAGTAAGATATCGATATCATGTGAATTGATCGATTCGAATTGAGCTTACGAAGAGTTTGTCCCGTCAGGAAAGTTTGCGTCGCGGCCCAAGCTTTGTAGTCTTCCTTCTTCATAGACAAGTTCCATGGGGTGCTGTGATCTTGAGCCTCACACACCGCTGCGAAGATCACAAAAGCGACGAGAACGGCCATGCATCTTCCCTGAGCCATCTGGATAGAAATCACAAACTTTTCCTGAATCGTGAATTGAGCCAAGGAAGCTTCTCTTTTGCTGCTGGTAAACTTTGAAAGATCTTTAGACTACTCTTGATGCTGCTGAGAAGACCTGGAAGATCTTTTTGCTGCCTGGGAAATGCTTTGCAATGGGCTTGTCTTTATAGTAACGGAGAGGCCTCCTCGACGGCTCCGGATGGCACACGGGCCGGAGGAAGCGCGTTGCAAATGGCCGGCTGGATCCTTAAACTTTACACAGGGCAGCAGAGAGCAAACGCTCAAACTTCCAAAAAGGACTATTGTTCCTGTTGCTTCCACCAGATGGAGCTTCGTGTTCTTCAATTCGGATGCTTGCTTGCTTTGTCCTTTCAGTAAAAGGTATAAGCAAAGTTCTTCCAAATACCAATGAATAGTTATAACATTTTTGTTTGCTTTCAGAAGGTATAGTATGTAACTATATTCCAGGGCGCCATCTTTGATTTATCAGACTTTTGTGGCATATTTCTATAGTATTTCATGATCGATATTATTTCTTTAAAACAATAAAACCTCAGAAGAATTTTTTTATAAAAAATTGGTAAAATCCAAAAGATTAAATCAAAATCTACAACAAAATCGCCAAGGCTCCAGCCGCAGCCGCAGCGAGTCCGGCCGAGAGGACTGGAGAACTTCCAGCAGCGGAGTTTGATGGTGGCGGAGGAGACGCAACACCGGTTGGGGTGCTGGGATTGGGAACGGCGGGCGCCCCACCTGGTGCCCCGCTTGTGGCCTCGAGAACGTTAATGGGTACCCTCATACCTCCATCGCAGTGGCCGGGGACTCCACAGATGAACCAGTGCTCCCCACTTGTGGTGAGGGTGACCTGGATGGGGCTGGGCGTCAAGTAGGACTGGATGGGCTGGGACGCGTCGCAGTTATCGTAGGCGGCACGGCTCACTTCCAACACGTTGTGGTTGCCCGTGTAAGTAAACGCTGCAAAAGCCCAGTCAAAAGTTACATACATGGCGGTGTAGAGTTTGGAGACAATGCAATGTCTAAGACCAAGCTATCGGAAGTTTCCGTCGCAAAAGATCTAGAAAACAAGGAAAGATGCGTTTGATCATGAGACCAAGCATGCAAGATGTGTAAGAAGAGTTTAAAGAAGCTTTGGAGACGATGGTGCAACAGTGGAGAAGTATTGTAATACTTTGAAGAAGGTTGTGTACCATGAGCAAGATAAATGAGAGAGTTTGGCAAGGATGGAATGAAGGATCACAATTTTTTGGAAACCTCAAGAAACACAAAAAGAGTTTCGATGTAAGAACTTACTGAGCGTGTCTCCCACCCGGAACTGGTTTCTAGCTGCCCACTCCGTGTAGCCATTCTGGATGCTCCAGCCGGGGGCGGCTCCAGCGACCTGATAATCCACTGCCATGGCGAGCTGACAAGCTGCTACTAGAGCCAGCGCCACCACTGCGATCCACTTTGCTGCTGCCATTCTTTCCTTTCTCAAACGCAAGGTGAATTTCGATCACGGATTGAGATAATCCTGGTCGTGGAATGAAGCAAGAAGAAATCCACGAAGAACTTTGCTCTGCCGGGACTATGGAAGCAGCGGGGCTTTATACACACATGCATGCTGATCATCTCAGTCACGAAAACGCAGCTATAGAAATGAAAACGCGGGATGTTGCCTTGACAAAGATCCGGTCGCAAACATTAGGCGGTCAAATTAGTGAACGCTGAATAAGAATGCATTCTCGTTGGACTTTCTACCGCGTCACTTCCGTACGGAGAATGATCTCGGCCGTACGATCCACCAAATGCTTCCCTGTTTCCAGAAGCACTGCAAAACAAGCCAAAAACCATGAGATGATTTGCCACCGTCCGCGAAATCAATCACCCAACAAGAAAAAAATATACACGAAAAGATTTTGTTACTGCTGGTCACAGGGGCTTTTCACAAGCACTGTAGAGTTCTTCCCAAGTACAGCCAGTCTATTATTAAAAAGTATTAATTAGTAATCTATCTTAATTGCGTGGAGAGCATTCAAGAACGTCTGGATCATCGCCCATCAAAACGAGGCCAGAGGAATTTTTTCTATAATCAAAGCCTTAACGCTGGAAAATAGGACCGTTGCGCGTCAATTCCGTACGCTCTGGGCGTGAGCCACTCACTCGTGATGAGGCCCAAGGCCGTTCCACCCGTCACTCGTGACGGTGGCCATGTTTTAACTATTTGTCGCTTTGCAACAGCTACCTTTCCAGTGAAGGGTTAAGATCTTTTTTTTTTTGCGAGAGAGGGAGAGGGTTTTAAGCATCGCGCACTGCCACAGCCTGCCCCCAGCTCAGCTCAGCGCAAACGTCTCTCATCCCTCTCCTTTAAATGCCACTGCCCTCACTTCATTCCTCCTCTCTCGCGTAGCCTAGCGCGTCCTCGCTCGCTCTCGCGCGCCCAGATCTAGCAGCAATCCACTCCACTCCCTCCATCCGGCAATCCACCGCGCCCTCTCGGTAGAATCTTGCATTGGGTCTCGTGGGCAGCCTCGCATTCGCCCAGATCGATCCTACATTCTCTAGATTTCTTGCAATGGCTTTCGGGAGGAGACCACAGCTCTTGGCGCTGGCCCTTTTGGCGCTGATCCACACCTGCATTTGCGAGGAGGAGTTCGTGGGTAAGTTTCCTAGCGCTAGTTTGATCTAGATCTAGAGCAGAGGGCGATGATTCGAGCGACAGAACAGAGATTCTGGTCGATCTTTACTGAGATTCTTTTCGTTCTTCTGGTTCTTTGTGGCAGTTCATCCAGGCAAGGGACTAAACATCATCCTGGCGACTCCGGCGGGAGCTCCCTCTGGAAGCGCGGCAGGGCCAGCAGCGACCGTACCACCGCCACCAACCGTACCGGCCCCGGTTGCGGCTCCTCCTCCGTCCGTCCCTCCTCCAGTTGTGGCGCCCGCGACCCCACCGACGGTACCGCCCCCAGTTGCGACTCCACCACCGGCACCAGTTCCAGTTGCCACTCCGCCCCCGGCTGCGGCGCCCGCCCCAGTTGTGCTGACCCCACCCACGGCTGCACCGACCCCAGTTGTGGCAGCGCCTACCCCGGTTCTGACGCCCCCGGCTGCGACTCCAGTTGTTACCCCGACCGCCTCACCGGCAGCTTCCCCACCTGCGCCTCCAACCGGTTCCAGCCCCGCTAGCGCTCCAGGCGCGTCCGACCTCGCTCCTCAATCTCCATCGTCCGCAATCTCAATCGTCGCATCCGCAGCGTCCGTTCTCGTGGCCTCTTCCCTCGCGGCGGCGCTTCTATTCTAGAGCGTAGGGGGGTCTACGTATCATTTGGAGGGATTGGATTTTTTTTTCTTTCATTGGGGAAGCACACACTACACGCACCACCACCTTTCACACGGCTCATTGGTTTTGATTTGAGTGTTTTGATCCCCCTATAAGCTATCTAGGAAGGAATTGGATGTAGAAGAGTCATTCTAGAGATATAGAGAGAGCCCCACTTGTTTTGTCCCTTGGCTGGACCTTTAGATCATAATTTATTTCATGGATTCTTTTTCTATGCTGCATCCTTTAGATCAATTCCTGGCTGCTGCTGCTGCTGCTGCTGCTGCATCTTTCAGTGCAAATTGGTCCAAGAAAAAGATGAGGAAAAAAAGGAGCTATGGATGTGACTTGCTTTTGTTGCTTGCTTTGTTTTCCTGCTTTACAAGCTTTTCGCCAGTTGATAGACTATAGCTGTGTGTCCTCCAATATTCTGTGTGGAGAGCCAAAGTCTCTCTTTCTTTTTTCTTTCGTGAGGCAGCCATGCGAACGACCGATCGATCTCCTTTACAGGAAGAATTCATCATGTCTACGTCCTTGGAAGAAGAAAAACTAGGAAGGAAGAAGAAGAAGAAGCAGCTGCCGGGGCATTGCAACTTGGACTTTCTTGATAGTAATCAGAGGTGAATCACGATTGTTGGAGGGGAGGTCGGTTTCAATGTCCGTTGGTTCACATGTGAGCATGGGTCCACACACACGCGCAGCACACAGTTGACAGCTGAGGGTTCAGGCACAGTCTGAACTGGCTGCTGCAAAACGTTTCTTTTTATTTTTAATCAGGAATGAAGAACCCTAAAAGTTCTATTCCAAAAACTCGGATGTTGGGAAGGGCAAGCGTGAAATAATGTTACAAATTATGTTGTGAAATCTTGAGGAGAAGGCTGAGGAAATCAAATGTTTGCATTCTGGAGTTTATGGTGATGCCTCAGCAAAGTAGATCAGACAGAAATCCTTTCTCTCTGATTCTGGATGTTATTTATTTATCTATCTATCTATATTTATATGCTGTTTTGGTAGTACACAGGTGAGGAAATGGTTCATGCTATAAAGCGTAATATTTATTTTCTGGGAAAGACTCGTGGGCCTGAAAATAGCGTGGAGTGAATTGCAAGTGAAGTGAAAAGCAAATGTGGTGGTGGTGGTAGTGCTTTAGAAATGAAAAGCACACACAGGAAGGAAAAGGACCTGAAGTGTTCCAGAATGGATTAAACAAAACGTATGAATTTAATAAATTCATTCTCAAATTTTCTCTCTTTTAAAAATAAATAAATAAATGACCAAATCAAACCCACGCTGCACAGACGTATGAATTATAAAACAGCGGCACTAGGATGGGAGATGCCGACTCAAAAGGCCTTCAAACGCAAGATACAGATCCTTGTTGTCAGCTCCAAATATGTCTCCGGCTTTCCTCAGCGTTTCCTGGAGCAAAGTAATCCAATTCCAAGTGTTTTTTGCCCTCCAAATCTTCTGTTCTTACCTCCCGTGTTTGGCGATGTGCGTTGAGTTCCTTGATATTGGCGAGGAAGGCACTGAATTGCTCGTAGGACAGACGATTCCTGCGATTCCATAAATAAAAAAGAAAACGGTGAGAAAAGAACAGCTTTTGCATTAGACTTCACCTTGCTTGCCGGAAAAATTCCTTCCCATCCACCTTGGGAGTCCGACCTGGATGGAAAAATGCGATGGATAACTTAGCAGCGATACAAAACTCTAAGTTTACCTGGTATAGGAGGCGAGCTTGGTGCAGTTATAGTATGGCTCGCTGGAAGAGATGCGAATCTCGGTTCAATTGCCGACAGTCGACGAGGCGAGCCTGGAGCCGATAATTGCAAAGGTGTTACCGACGCTGATAGATCCTTTGGAGAACCTATGGGAGACAACTTTGGCGTAAGCGTTGGAGTGAGCGAGAGTGTGCGGTTCCTTTGAGCTATATCGATTACGGTTATATCAGTTTAAGGAAAAGTCGAAACGATTACCATCTTGGATATCATCTTGGCCGGAACCGGACGTATCTGCATCTGTAATGCAGACAATGGAACAGTGTCACAAAGCAATAGAACAGTGTCGAGCTACCTTTGACGCGATTTCCAGATTCCTGGGAATTGGAAAGAAAATTTATAGTGCGTGAGTGAAAAGAGCATCGCTTTTCTAGTCACATACCGTACCACCGTCCTCGTCTTCTTGTAGAGACTGCATCAAAGTTCGCTTGAATGCTTCCAGCTGCCAGATAAAAGTAAAGAAGAAACAAAAACACAAACGTGAGAGATGAAAGAGAAGACAGGAAAAAAAAAAAATCAAACCTTTGCAACATCTCTATTCAGTTTCTTCACTGTGCTCATAAGAACGTTTCTCTCATTCGTAAGTTTGGTCTGGAGAGAGTTTGAGAGCAATCAGCGAAAAAAAGAAAGAGATCAATCCAATTCTATCCAGACCTGTTCATCCAACGCCGTTGTCAATCGACCCATAGCATCCTGCAAATTGTGCTCGGTCTCCGAGAGCCTCTCCTTCAATTCGTAGATAACTTTGTCCCTCTCGGCCACTTTTTGCATGAGCTTCTTCTCATCGGCCTCCAGTTTGGCCACTCTCAATGTGATAGCCATGGATGTAATCCTCCTCGCCAAATCCAGCTGCTCGAAGGGGTCCGTCGGCAGCACCGACAGCACCTCCTTTGGCAGATCAAAATCCACGCCCATCATCGTGGAAGAATCGCCTGCCCTTGGCGGGGAATTCCGGGAATTCGGGCAAACGGTAGAATCACGATCTTACCAGAGGAGATGGCGCATTGGGGCAGAATGCGGCATCGAGGAATAGGAAATTGGAGCGCGATGCAGCATCCCACGAGCCCTAATCTCTCCCTCTCTCTCTCTCCCGGAATTAGGGTTCCAGACAAAACCCCTTGTTCATATCTGGATATATATTCTTCTCCAAACAAATGGGACTTTCCGCCACGGAACGGTATGTCCAATCTGTACCGTTGGTTTCGCCATATCTTACGCGCCGGAACTTTTAATTCAAATTCAAAATTTACCGCCAAAAAAGTTCTTCCCCAGCTTTTTTCCCAGGGAGTGTGATCTATAAGGTTTGTCCCGCGAGGGTTGCGAGCGCTCCAACCAATCCGGCATTGATATATGTCGATGGCTCTGACTGGGTGAAAGCTTCTCGATCGTCCGAGTATTGGTCACTGCTATCGGGGCCTCCAACTACGCCCCCAACGATGGGATTTGGATTTGGAGACGACGCTTGGAGGTACTGGAATCCCTCTTGGCATCCAATCTTGGCAGGATGATCTTCGATCGAGGGCATGGACGAGGCACGGTGATGGACGCGCTGCGGGAAATTGCGGCCGAATCCAATCATGTATGACGAGTTCCTGGGATTGTTTCCCAGGATGTAATCCACCTGGAAGAAGGGAGTGATACTCTAGAATGAAGAATGAATGAACTGATGAAAATCATACCTGCTGCTTCGCAAAAGCATTGAGTTCGTCCGGAGAGACCTGGACGTCTCCACAAGAGACTGTCTGGGACGCGTCCTCCAGATACTTGGCATACGTGAAAAACAAAAACGCAGCGCTAGTCACGTATTGCATGTTGCTTGCTTCTTGGACGTAGAGCAAACCACCTGGATCAATTGAAAGTTTCCACCACCTTTCCAATCAATCTAATCCCATTCCAAGGAGAACGAACCTCACCTGGTGTAATCGTGGCTGTGGACTTGGGATTTCCCGGAAGAACAGAGCATACGAAGTTGTCAGCTTGGGTTTTATACCCTTCCAGATCGCTCCTTCCCGAGAAGAACAACTATGAACCAAAAAAACGAGCGATAGATTGCAAAGAAAGTTTCCAGATTACCTGTGATGCCAAAACTTGGACGCCAGCAAGCTTATTGTCCCAGGTAGCCGTGTAGTATGTCCCGGTAGTTCCTCCAAATCCAGCACCATTCTCGATCAAGTAGCTCAAGTACTGTTCGTCGCGAGATGCTTTGTAGAGCCAAGCAGCAGCCCAGAGAAGCTCATCCTGGATCACAAGAACTGAGTTGAAACTTTCTAGGAGATCTAGCAAATACCTCGTAACCAGAGAAGGAATTGTAGTACGGCGTGACAACCTCGCCCAGAGAATCGCTGTATTTTCCCCTGTAAGCATCTGCAAACCGGAAAATCTATACCAAAGAAAATCCGTTGGACATCGGTCTCGAAATCGATCCAAATCCCAAGCTTACATCTTGCGCCTTGGCGAGGAGCTCGCTGGAATACCCCGGATCGGTAATCTGGAAGACGATCGACGACGCCGCGAGCGCCGCAGCCGATTCCCCCGCAAGATCCGAGCCTGGATGCGCCGCATCGATCCTGTACGCCGTTCTTGGCGTGTCCATATCCTCGGGCCTCTCCCAGCACGCATGATCGGCTTGAGCATCCCCGACCTAGACGAAGAACAATGAAGAACAAAGAGCTTCGTTACTAATGCCGCATTATCATAGCGCAAGGTAATTAATCACCTGGGCCCAAAGTACATCGGGCGCACTGTACGTCTTGGATATATAGTCGGCGCCCCATCGTACGGCTTCCTTGGCATAACCAAGCTCGCCAAGGGAATCAAGCTCCAGACCGGTCTCGATGACGGACCAAGCCAACATTGTGGTCGTGAAGGCCCCTGGGAATCCAAATTTCACGTTGTTTCCAGCGTCGTAGTAGCCTCCAACGAGATCGACCTGGAAGAACAGGGCGATCGCCAGTCAATTTACAAGGAAAGATCGATTCATTTCACAACATTGACATCTTGTCCATCGGTGAGCGCGGAATCGCCCCGCCATGTCGCTCTTTGATCCTCGGGGAGCTCTCCCGAGCGCTGCTGCTCGTAGAATAGGATGGATTTGTCCAGAGCGTCGGCGTAGTCGAAGCTCGCCGCTCGAGAAGCGTGTGGAATCGATGCAGTGAGTATGAGCAGCAGCAGCAGCAGTAGCGGCGGCGGCGGCGCTTGATCCAAATCCAATTGCATTCCGGATCAATTGGCGAAGGATAGCTCTTGCAGGAATTGGTGGTCTTTCAAGACGATCGAGCCTTCCGCGATCATAGCATTTAGACCCGAAACTCGCGCAGTCGGCTACGATCCATGCTTGGCGCCAAAAATGTTCTTGGATATTTCGGATATTCTCATATTGCTCGATCGATCCTCAGAAATACCCCATGGTGGGCTTCATCGCTTGCTCGAAATCGCCATCGCCCTCTTGCCTCCTCCTACCCGATTTGTACAAATTGTGGAGCAACACATACGGCGCCGAGTCCTCTGGATCCAGCTGAAAGACACACTGCGCGGCCTGCTGCGCCCCTCTCCCAAGACTCCCATAGTTCCTATACCCGCCCAGGAGCGTCGCCCACGCCACGGAATCGGGCTGGAAGGGCATGTTTGCGATCAAATCCTCGGCCTCCTTGATCCACCCGGACCGCCCAAGAACATCGATCAGACACACATAGAGGTCGTGATCCACGTCCCGCGCCATGGAGTAATCCGTGCTCATCGAGACGAAGTAGTGGCAGCCCAGATCGACGCGTCCGGCGTGGCTGCAAGCCCCCAGCACGGCCACGAACGTCACTCCATCGGGCGTGATCCCATCCAGCGCCATCTCCGCGAAGAACGCGAGCGATCTCCTGGTATGCCCGGCGTGGGCATACGAGGAGATCATCACATTCCACGACCAGCGATCCCGGTCGGGCATATCGTCGAAGAGCGACTCGGCCATGGCGAGGCTGCCGCAGCGGCCGTACATGTGAAGCAGCGCATTGCGGAGGTACGCGTCGGGCTCCGTACCGCTGGCCGTGATCTCCGCGTGGAGGATCTGGCCCTCGAGCAGCGCCTGGAGGTCCGCGCAGGCATCGATCGCGCTCATGAAAGTGATGTCGTTGGGATGCATCCCCGCGAGATCCATGAGCTTGAAGATCTCTAGGGCATCCCACCCCCGGCCGTTCTTCACGTAGCCGGAGATCATCGCGTTCCAGCTCGCGACGTTGCGCTGCTCCATGGCGTCGAACAGCCGCCGGGACTCGTCCACGTCACCATTCTGGGCGTATGCCGCCACCATGGCGTTGTACGACACGAGAACCTTCTGCGGCATCTTTTCGAAGAGCGCCCTCGCCTGGAGAATATCCCCGTGCTGGGCAAATGCGGTGACCATCGCCGTCCAGGTCACCGGGTCCCTCTTGGGCATCGCGTCGAATATCCGCTTTGCCTTCCCCAGATACCCGTACTGGGCATATGCCGTGATCATTGCGTTCCACGACACGACATTCTTGTCGGGCATGGCATCGAATATACCCCGTGCCTCGCGGAGATTCCCCTTCTGGGCGTACGCCGTCACCATGCACGTCCAGGAGATGACGTTCTTCTGCGGCATGTCGTCAAACACCGCGCGGGCCTCCTCCGTATGCCCGTACATGGCATATCCCTTGACCATGTTGTTCCACGAGGAGATATTCCGTACGGGCATGGCGTCGAAGAGGCGGCGCGCCTCGCCCAGGCTGCCATTCTCGATGTAGCCGGTGATCATGGCCGTCCACGAGACGACGTTCTTGTCGGGCATCTTGTCGAATATCCGCCGAGCCTCGAGAATATGCCCGTTCTCGGCATATGCGGTGACGATGCTCGTCCACGAGACCACGTCCTTCTTGGGGATCCTGGCGAAGACGTCTAGGGCTTCCGCGAGATGCCCACCCTTGGCGTAGGCGTTGATCATCGCGTTTGCGCCCACGGTGCTCTTCTCGGGCATGTCCTCGTACATCTTGCGCGCCTCCTCCAGATGCCCGTTCCTCCCCAGAGCGGACACCATGATGTTCCACGAGAATGCGTTGCGATCGCCGCGGTCCAGGCTCTGGAACACCGATCGGACGTGCTCCAGGCTGCCGCATTTGCTGTACATGTCCATGAGCAGATTCTTGAGGTAGCGATCGGCGGCGTAGCTGGAGGCCTTGATCCGGCCGTGGATCGCCACCGCCTCGGCCAGATCCTTGGCCTTGGAGCACGATTTGACGCAGCAGGCGAGCGCGTGGTACTCCTGGAAGCTGGCATCGTCGAATCGCGCGCGGACGAGGCGCTCGGGGGGGATTATGGCCGCGGCGTCGCGAGATCCAGGCGCTGTGGGATCCCCGAAACGGACGGGCATGGCGGGGCCACGTCTCCCGCGCGATTATATCGACGGCGGGGCGGGCTATGAAATTTTAGGGTTCTTGGGCGGGGCGAGGAACAAAGAGGGGGAGCTAAATGTACCGGCGCGGCGTTCTTTCGCCCGAGATGCGCGCGTCGCCGGAGAGCAAGCGGCACCAATTCTGGGAGACGCAGCCCGTAGGTCAGTACAGGGACAAGGAGAATGCCGATCTGCCCGACGGATCGATCGAGCCGGCGACGCCGCCGTCCGAGGTGAAGCAGGAGCCCTACAATCTCCCCAGCAGCTACGAGTGGTGCACCTGCGACGTCAACTCGGAGGACGCCATGGCGGAAATCTACGCGCTGCTCACCAACAACTACGTCGAGGACGATGACAACATGTTTCGCTTCGACTACTCGGTGGATTTCCTGCGCTGGGCGCTCCGCCCGCCGGGCTACTTCCCCAACTGGCACATCGGCGTCCGAGCAAAGACCTCCAAGAAGCTCGTCGCCTTCATCACCGGCGTCCCGGCCCGGATCCGCGTCAAGGAGTCGGTGATCAACATGGCCGAGATCAACTTCCTGTGCGTGCACAAGAAGCTGCGATCCAAGCGCCTCGCACCGGTGCTCATCAAGGAGGTGACGCGGAGAGTTCATCTGGAGAACCTGTGGCACGCTGCCTATACCGCCGGCGTCGTGCTGCCGACCCCTGTGGCGACTTGCCAGTACTGGCACCGCTCGCTCAACCCGAAGAAGCTCATCGACGTGGGGTTCTCGCGGCTGGGCGCCAGGAACACCATGAGCCGGACCATCCGGCTGTACCGCCTGCCCAGGGAGACGGTGACGCCGGGGTTCCGGGCCATGGAGCGGCGCGACGTCGCCAAGGTGACGGCGCTGCTGCGCGGCTACCTGGCGCAGTTCTCGGTGGCGCCGCTCTTCACCGAGGCCGACGTCGAGTACTGGCTGCTCCCCTTGGAGAACGTCGTCAACAGCTACGTCGTGGAGAACCCCGAGAGCCGCGAGGTGACCGACTTCGCGAGCTTCTACACGCTGCCGTCGACCGTGATTGGGAACGAGCAGTACTCGGTGCTCAAGGCGGCCTACTCGTACTACAACGTCTCCGGCGCGACGCCGATCGCGCAGCTGATGAACGACGTCTTGATCATGGCCAAGCGCTGCGACTACGATGTTTTCAACGCGCTCGACATCATGCACAACGAGGATTTCCTCAAGGAGCTCAAGTTTGGCCCCGGCGATGGCCACTTACACTACTACCTCTACAACTACAGGATGAAGGAGGCGCTCAAGCCAGCGGAATTGGGACTGGTTTTACTTTGATCACCAAAGCTTCGATCGATCGTTCGTCCCCTCTCTCTTTTTCTCTCTCTCTCTCTCTCTCTCTCTCTCTCGATCTCTTTTGTTTTTTTTTTTTTTTTTTGTTTTTTATGTTCTTGCCGCGATCTCGAAGCGCTCGCTAGCTGTGCTTTCCATTGTTTTTCTCTTCGCTGGTTTTATCCCACGTCCACGTCACTGCCAACGTGGCGCGGTGATACTTCTGCGTTACCCTTCTATCAGGTGCTACTCGGGTCACATTCTTTCTGGACGATTGGATTTAGGGTTCTTGGCTAGACGCGAGCAAGGCGCAGCATTGGATCCATGTAAATATCGCGGAATTGGTGGATCCAGGCAAGAGCGTCCAGATCTGAGCGCCTGTTTTTGGCTGATGATCTTCCGGAATGGCAGGGGTGGAAATAAGAATTCGCAGCGCAGCGGTGAAAACAGGGAGATCGAGAATCGGGCACGATGCCGAGCGAGCTTCTGAGTTTCCAGCCGACGGAGCTCAAATTCCCCTGTAAGATTCTCGACCCTGTGTTTTGTGTGGATTCCGCGGTCTAGTAGAGTAAAAATTTCTCTCGATTTCGTGCCTAGGCTTTCCAATCAAGGCTGGAAGGCTTCGGAGAGGTAGACATTTGTTGCCCCCCAGAATAGAGGTCCAGCTTGCGAAGACTTTTGGATCTAAGCTTTGTCCTAATTTCGCTCGCTCTCTTTGTTTTGCTGGAAATAGTTGAGTTGAAGAAGCAAATTGCTTGCCCCTTGGAGCTCAAGAATAACACCGACGAGTATGTGGCGTTTAAGGTAACCAAGGATGAAATGATACGTCTGTGTGTGTGCTCTAATTCTTTGTTCTTTTTATTTCCAGGTGAAAACTACATCACCAAAGAAATATTCTGTTCGTCCGAATGCTGGTTTTGTTCCACCTCATGGCAGCGTTGACATTATCAGTATGTTCTCTCTTCCTTTTTTTTTTTTTTTTTTCTATTAAGATTGACCCCGTGCTTGTTTGCTGCAGTCACCATGCAAGCACAACGAGACTATCCCCCAGACCTGCAGCAGTGCAAGGACAAGTTCCTTGTGCAAAGTGTTCGAGCACCGGAGGGTGCTCAGTTTCAAGAAGTGTCCCAGGAGCTGGTCAGTTCATAGCTTTCTAAACATCGTTGGTTTAGAATTGTTTTGGTGCAGTTTAACAAAGAGAATGGGGCGGAGGTGTTCGAGAACAAGCTGAAAGTTGTCTATGTCTCTCCGCCTCAACCTCCGTCTCCGGTTCCCGAGTCCGCCGAAGAAACTGTTTCTCCATCAAAAGCCGACAATGGAGACTGGATCTTTTCACTGAGAGACGTAAGACTTTTCATACCTTTTAGCTGCACGAAACTCTGATGTACACGTTGTTGGTTTACAGGGGCCTAAAACTGCCGGTGAACTTGAGAGCAAGATTGCAGAGGTAACAAGTATCGTGAACGTGAGTTTTAAGCTATCTGTTGCTTGCAGGCACGAGCATCCTTGACAACACTGTCGAACGAGCGCGACTTGGCAAAGCATCAAACGCGAGAGCTCGAACAAGAACTGGTACGGAATTTAGTTTTTCTAGTTCTTTTTTAAAGTAGGATCCGTTGCAGGCCAATGCTAAAGTCTCTAGCAATCACACCACAACCTCGAGAGGGCATGGTTATTCACTCTTTTTCGTTTTTTTTGTGGGAATCTTGGGTGTCCTGGTGGGGTATTTTCTTAGACATTAACTTATAGTTAGCGTGGTTCACATTGTTTGGTTATGACGTGGCTGAAATGAATATGTCGATTCTATATGCCTTTGTGTGTATCATCTCGTCCTCGAACTTAGAAGCCATTGAGGAATTCGCCCCGGCGTGTCTGTTTCGGCAATGCAGTACTTTATAAAAATCTGGTAACGATTTTTCTCTCCTGAAAGTTCGATGTTTACCTTGGAAAGTTTTGCAGGTGCATGGCCGGTGTGTGTTATTTTTATGTTCATCGCTACTGGCTACTATGTTATCCTTAAATCGAGACCAAGCTGCCGCCGACAAGTTTTGCCTCCACCAGGGAATTCCGGCTATCCATTAGCTGGCGAAACTTTTATGCTCTTTACAACGCTTCCAGATAAGTTTGTGGGAAACCACCGTAAATAGTGCGTAACCTTGTGGATTGGGATCTGGAATGGCTGACAAATGGGCTTTTGATTCAGATATGACATACTTTCAAGCTACCTTATACGCCATCCAACTGTAATAGTTTCGACGATTGATGCAAACAAGTTCTTTTTGGAGCAAGAAGGCTCCAAGTTTTGCAAGGCGTCCAAGCTGAAGTCTATGAGAAACACATTGGGGCCGCACCAAGTGAACCAGGCAAACGATGACTTGCATCGGAGATTTTACAAGCTAATTCTCGCACACATGGTACCGGAAGTTGTCAAACAGAAGGTTCAGAAGTTTGATGAGAGTGCGCGCAGATGGCCTGTCCGAAGGTGTGCGCACTGTGATGAAAAGGTATTTGGAACGAAAGCTCGATGAATGGAACTGACTTTGCCAATGCTTTCAGTTCACATTTCTTGAGATCGCGAGCTTGGTTTGCGACGAGGGAGTTGGATCCACAAAACTTAACAACACAGACAATTTTGAATGACATCAGGGCATTGACGAAAGGCATCGTCAGTCTTCCAGTAAACGTACCATTCTGTGTTTACAGGTATGCAATTAAGGTTTTTTATTCCGAGCACTTTGTTTCAGGCTATCTTACTTTAAAACGATTATTTGTCAAAGACAAAGAGATTCAGAAACTCCGCATGCTGATTTGCTGCAAACTCTTCTGGACTCCAGAGAGGATGGAGGGCCTCTGTCAACCGACGAGGTTGTTGATAATTGTATTGCGTGCCTGTCATGAAGTTTCTGCATGAGAATCCAAGTGTATTTGAAGATCTCAAGGTAAGCTATGTGACAAAATACTGGCGAATGTCGTTTATAAAAGTGTATGAGTTTGTGGTCAGGATGAGCACATACGGATAACGAAGAGAAAGGACGGAGATAAAAATCTGACTTGGGAGGATTGTCATGACATGCATTTGACGTGGATGGTAAAGTTAAAATTGTGTTCTTTCGTTTATTTACAAGTTTTTCCATGGCAGGTTATCCAGGAATTATCAAATGTCCCTCCCGCCGTGATCCGGGAGATCGCAGAAGACGTTGTCTATCAGGGTAAGAACACCTCCATTGTGTCTAAAGAATGCCACTAAAATGCTATTTGCAGGCTACAGATTTCCCAAGGGCTGGAATATGATTCTATTCAGCGCAACACATCTAAACGAGAAGCACTTTCCAGATCCTCATAAGTTCGATCCCAAGGTATGTCTCAGGTTGCTCCCAAGCGCGGAAGCTATACTCCATTTGGAGCTGGGAGCCGGAGTTGTGCTGGGCGAGAGCTCTCGAAACTAGAGATGCTCGTTTTCATTCACAGGCTGGTCACAACTTACAAGTAAGCTTCCGTGTGTTTCTTCGTGTTCTTTAGAAAATCTTTCTATCACTTAAATTTGATAGATGGGAGCCAAACGAGACAAGCAAAGATGTGAGCTACCATCGCATCCAGTGCGTCTCTACAAGCTTTAGAAATTCTAGAGTATGGATCGGACGGTCCTTAATGTTTCGAAATTGGACGGTGGAGATTGTCCTCGTTACTGTGAATCTAGCAAACGGCTGGGATTTTCTCTCGTCAAAGATTTAGGGCTTTTTGCTAGGAGCGCGATGGACAGGGAGTGGGGGAGCAAGCCCGGGAGCGGTGGCGCGGCGTCGGCTCAGAATGAGGCGATCGATAGGCGCGAGCGTCTCCGGCGCCTCGCCATCGAGACGATCGACCTGGGCAAGGACCCCTACTTCATGCGCAATCACTTGGGAAGGTATGTCTCTCTTTCATGTTTTTCTCTTGGAGGAGAATGTCCGCTGTTTTTCTCGAGATTGGGCGAGTGATGGCATTGAAATTCCTTTGGTTTTGGCAGCTACGAGTGTAAGCTTTGCTTGACGCTGCACAACAATGAGGGGAACTACTTGGCACACACGCAAGGCAAGCGACACCAGACGAATTTGGCCAAGCGCGCGGCTCGGGATGCTAAAGATCAGCCTATTCAGCCACAGCCACTCAAGAGAAAGCTCAACCCACGCAAGACAGGTATGGAGAAAAAGACCATCTCTTTGGATTTTTCTAAGTGTTGTGTTGTGTCTCCTCCAGTTAAGATTGGCCGGCCCGGTTACAAAGTCACGAAACAATACGACGCAGAGACGCAACAACGCTCTCTACTCTTTCAGGTGAGTTTTCACTTTGCCAGACACGATTCTTAGCTGAAACTCCGTGTTCTTGTCTTATAGATTGCTTATCCGGAGATCGAGGACAATGCCAAGCCACGGTACCGCTTGATGTCCTCGTTTGAGCAGAAGCTGGAACCGAACGAAAAGGAGTGGCAGTATCTCCTCTTCGCGGCCGAGCCTTACGAGATTATCGCCTTCAAGGTAATGAATCCACACCGTTTCG